CGCCCATATCCTTTCGCCAAAGCACTTCTGCCAGCCTGGTTGTCCACGAAAGCAACCCAGAAACGAGACAGTGAAGCTCGGTTGCTGAGAAGGCCCACTGCTTGAGCAAGGATTTCGAGAAAATAAATAAAAGCCTTACGATGACAAAAGACCCGGAGTAGAGCGGCTGGGGCAGTAAAGTGCGAAGCTGTTGTGCCTAAGTTCGTACGACAGACGAAACCTAGGCCATTCTTGCAGAGGTGAATCTTGTCCATTGGCCATCGTTTGGGAACTTGTGGGGAAGAGACCATCCAACGGGTGGTACCAAGCTCGAAATATGCATCGGCGTACAAAACTGAAACCGGCTCTGAGGATTGAAACGGCAGTGTCCTGGGAGGCGCCTCGGCTAGCAACGTCAGCAGGCATCGCAAAGAGGCTCTCAAAGCACTATTCAGGGTCACCTCTGCAACGGCTGGTGCGCTAGCACGCGCATGTAGCGGGTGAAGCAATGATTGCCCCACCTTGCCGTAGAGCGATGTACAAAGAAACTGCAACTTGCCCGCAAGTCTAGAGGCACACTCCACCTGAAGGCGATCCTCTTGCAGAGCTGTCTCCATGACAGATCGAAGCTTCTCGAGTCTGTGTGGATCTGGTTGAACCGAGACAGCGTCCTCCGTGATTTCAATGAAAACACCCTGAATCTTCTGTCGTGCACCGGGAGGTTGCTCCTTGGAAAGCTTCAAGCGAAACCCTAAAGCCGAACAGAACTCCCTGAAAGTGGAGAAACCAGACTGTGAGCTGTCTGAAGGATCGACGCTGCCGAGATCGTCCACGAAATGAATGCACGGACACCAAAACAGGCTCCGAGCCAACCACAATAATGCATCAGTGGCCTTATTGAAATGAAAAACAGAAGAAGTGGCTCCAAAAGGCATCACATAATGTCGCCACAAGGTTGGTCCTTGTGGTGTCATCAGCAAGACGAAACACTGGTTCGGATCAGACACCGGGTACTGGCGATAAGCCGCCTCCAAGTCCTGAGCCCAGATCAAAGGCGAAATGCCTCGCGCGGCAAGATAACGGACCATCGCGATGTACTGACTGACATCGTCGTGAGGCGGTATGTCGTATGCCGAAACTGTGCTATTATGATACGATCGTCTCCAGTCTTCACAACGTCTCACCTTGCGACGCCCATCGGAGCCCACTTGGACTACCGAGAACGCCCACGCCACTGCAGGAGTCTCAGTCGGACAAGGTAAAAGCTCGCTGAAACCAGTAACCTCTGAACAGGAAGTGCACTGAACGTTCCAGGATGCTGGGGCACTAAATGGCCCCTGCATGCGTCCCTTGCGAACCTCTTCCGAAATTTCCTGCAACATGACAGACCACTCAGCATCGACGCGGCCCTGCTGCAAACGATCTCGAACATGTCCCTGATTAAGCTTGCCGAAAGTCTGCATATTTATGGGGTGGCTGTATTTCTCATCACAGCGCGGCAACCAGCCCGCTGTTGGCCTGAGGTCGCCCAACATGGGCATGCCGCCCTGCAGCTCCGCCTCCGCGTCCGGATATCCACAGCCTCGGAGCAATTCGAGAAAAATGGGTATCTGAACTCGTTTCCCATCACCGAGATCATATGCAGCCTGAATGTGTGGGGTGAGGGAACGAAACCAGATCTCGGTTTCCCCGGCCCGATTTGTGATCCGTTGTTGAACCTCTGACAAAATCGCAGAACGATGAGAATCGATATCACCCTGGAAATGCTGCAAGCGATGGTAAACAGTCTCCAATGAATCAGGGAGTCTAGGCGGGGCCAGCAAAGGGTGTTCGACATGAAGGCTGGCAACCCAATGTTCCCACTCTTCGCGAATGGGCGGTAAAATCGCTGGTTGTAACTCAACATGTCTACTGACTGACAATGGTGATTTCTTCGACTGCTCGATTGCCCCTTGCAGGGCGCTCGTCGGGGGAGCATCGCTCGGCTCACCTGCCGGACTCACACTGTACGGTGAGAGCACACAGTGCAAAAGAAAAGTGGCGCAGCCGACGTGCCACGAGTTGCCCATCAAACGGTGCCGAGATCTGGGCGGCACATCTGGCATGCGGGTGACTCCTGCTGCAAAGTGGTGGAGTTGCTCCTTCAATTCGACAGGCAACACCATGAGCTCATTCTGACTACTCCGCACCATTGCGGACTCTTCATAGATCCACGGGGGATACTGCCGTAACCCCGCAAGCCACCGAGAATGGGTGGCTGAATCAACCTTACCCTTCATCGCACGTGGAGGCTCACGTCCTTCCTCGGACGGGGCTGGCGTGACTAGGCAAGGTAGCAGCTTCTCCCCTCGGGTAATACTATCATGAAAGCGCAATCCGGGCATGACAATGTCAGAATGATTATCCTTGGGAACCTCGGGGATGAGCTTCTTGAGGCCTTGATGTCTCGTCCACTTGAAGGGTGCCTGAGTCACCGGGTTGGTTTTCAATCTGGACCAATCGATACGGGTCCACCACACCCGTGGCCTGCTGATCAAACCGAAAGCCGCTCCATCCAAGATCAGGGCATCGGCACGAAGTTGCCGACTAAAGTAGTCGACGTCAGGAGTGTGTTGCATCACAACGTTCTCCACTAGCAGTTCGAACTGCCAGCCCTGCATCAACGACTCCAGCTCGGTCATGAGTGCGCAAAAGACCTGGAACAATCTGCCTGTCGCGCCCTGCCTGCCAGCGCCTGAAGCCTTGATGCGCGAGTAGTCGGGGCACGGCGGCCCGGCACAAGCCAGGATCAGGACCTTCTTGTCGGGATCCAAAGCCGTCAGCATGGCGGCGAGATCAGATGCATTATCTGATTCAATGTCACCTCGGTCGTAGCGCAAGCCCTTGAAAAGCCTGCGGCTGACCTTGATGGCATGCTCATCAGTCTCCCAAACAATGAGGGCCCGCAATCCAACACCCAGATTCGCCAAAGCATAAGCAGCCGAGCCTAATCCATCGAAGAATGAAAGCAGCACGACATCGCGCTCCAGGTGCAAAGGTGGTAAGCGAAGCTGCAATGATGGTTTCGCCAACGGTGTCGAGGAGCTCGCCGATGTTGCCAAGGCGCTGGGAAGCGGAGGTTGTGGAGGAAAAGAAAAGCTAGCATCGTCAGCCGAACCCGTCAACGGCCGGTTACCCCGCCCCTCGGCTGTGGGGTGGGGCCCGTGCTGTCCCTACGCCGAAGAATCGGCGCCGGGGCGACGCCAAACTGGATTGGCATGCCACTGGGGCCTCCACGGGATGTCCTTGCCACCTTTGCCATCAGACTTGGAGCCGTAGCCTTTGCCAGAATGGTCGAAGCCCTTGCCGGTGTGATGATCAAGCCCTTTGCGACCCTTGTCACCCTTGGAATCGCCCTTGAGCCGGGGGGCCTTGGTGGGAGTATTCCCGAGACCTGCACCATCCGTAACCTGGCGCCGTCGGTTGCCAGGATCAGCGACCGACGCCTCGCGCATCATGTGCTCCTGGAAAGATGAAAGGTCCGCCGTGACGAGTTCGCTGGCCTCGGTGAAGGTCTTCTTGGCACGCATGAAGCCACACAGCTTCCATGAAGCCGCCTCGAAATAAGTCCGGAATTGTTCCACCTTGTTCTGGCGGCTGCGCGCCCTGAGGACCATGAACTCAAAGTAGCGCCTGATCTGAGCCTCAGGCCCCATCTCCACGAGGATGTAGAGCCATTTGATGGACCGAAGCCCATCCAAGATAGACATAAGTCCCTTGGGGACCCAATCATCGTCCCTGTCCCCTTCCTCTCGCAATTGCCCGTCCTCCACTGACAACTTGCTCGTCCTGGGCTTCTTGGCGAGAGGATTCACCTCGCGATTCGCCTGGAACGACCTGCGAGATAGCAGCTCCCCCAACCCAACTGGTTGGTACATTTTACTCACCCGATGTTCGTGCAGAACTCGGGCGACCACCGATTCCGCCCCTAATAATTCATGTTCAGGAAACGAGCGAAGTTCTCCTGCTAATGTGATATTGTTATATCTCTCGATCATGTTCGTCCACTCTCCAGGGGGCAACTGCTTCGGAACTTTGGCGTCGGCTGAGGATGATGCAGACACTGTGGGGGCAGCCGGCGAAGAAGAGGCCGGTACTGCTGCCGCGGACGCGCGAACCTGTCGGGTCCTGGACTCGTTGGCCAAATTCCACATGTACCTAAGGATGGCAGATGCAATCGGCTTCTCAGTGGCATCCAGCTCGAGGCGTGGGCTGGTGTCCGACTTTTGCCACCCCCTCAAAAGAGGCTGACAAATGATCTCGTCGAAAGTCGCCACGTCGTTGGCCACCAAGGCTAATGCCCGCACTGACTTGATGCCGCGTTCCTCAAGGTAAGTCAAAACGACATTGCCTGCCCCGGCTGTCGCTGCCAATTCGCTAAGGCTGGGCTCACTCTGAGGAGCGGGTGACCCGGCCGCGATACCCCCGACCATGGCCACCGAGAAATGCAGACACGACTCACGCGCCTATGATGAAAGAAGCCTGAAGATCAAACTGAAAGCCCTGGGTCGAGCAAGAACGTGACCTCAAATGCCCTACTCTCGCGCTTGAGTCCGTCTGGGCGGGGGTTAGTCAGCTGCTCTTGCCCGATACAGCCGTGATTTGCTGACGAGGAACATGCAGCGCCGCACGTCTCTCATGGTTTTGGCTGAGCTCGCCAAAATGCAAAGGGGCCCGCTGCCCTTGCTTCTCCGTCCTGCTACAGAAATCAAAGAGATCGGAGTACGTCAAAATATGGGCCAAGGGAAACTACGGCTGACAATGCCACGGCACTAACATGTTTGCGCGCAAGAGCTAGAACCAGCCCCCGTGCACTCCGAACTCAAGAGAGGCCTCAGCTAATCCATCCGATTCACGGAATCACTGAGCTCCTCGTCTAAGTGAAAACCCCCAGTCAGTGGCTCCCTCGCGATCACATCTCGCCTGCTCGGCGGGATATCGGCCGCATCACACCGAGCCTTGAGAATCTCCACGAGCCGACGACGAGTGAGGGTATGGATGTTCATCTCCTGCAGCAGGCAAAAGAAAAGCAACTGTATACACAATCCGCTCTGGCGCAAACTTCGGGACTGTTTCAACTGTCACTGCTGCTGGTCTCGGAAAGGCTACTGGACTCATCTGAGCTCCCTTCGGAGCCGGATGATCCTTGAGCGGGGGATCCTTTGTTCTCGAAACATCGCCTGCACAAAGACGGGGATCCTGCAGGAGCACTGGTAACACGATCGAAGTAGCGAAAAGCATATGGCCAGCCACAGCCGGTGCGCCAATGCTTGGGAGCATTGGCCCCTTCTTCCACAGCAATCCTATGAATCTTGCCAGTCCGCGGTCGCCTAATGTACTGCTGTGGTGGTGGCTCCACGGCCTTCTTCAAAGTCTCCAGCTCGGACCGAACTTCCACAATCGCCTCGGCCTGCTGAGCAACCGAATCTTGTAAAGATGCAATCGGCTGGCGCGGCTCACGCCGCCGAGCTGGCCTAGGTGATCTCTCCCGATCGCCTTGATGGTCGCCAGACCTGGCGTCGTCTTGAATGTTGACTTGTATGCCTGTCCTGGCATCAATCGCGATGTTCACGCTAGCATCCTGTGCCAAAACGCCTGATGCTGCTGCTGGTACCTGAGCCAGTGGTGCACTCTGAACATATCGCTGAATAGCAAAAGAAGACCACCGCCCCAGGATTTGAACCAGACTCAAAGAAAGGCCCATACTGATAAGCCACTGTGCCCCGGAAACTCGGGCACAGTGGCCTTGAAAACGGTCGATCAAACGGCCGCTCTCATCCGGCCGCTGGAGCTGAATCCCTGCTCTCTGCAAAGCCGAAAAGAAACCCCTAATGACCTGGTCCTTGGGAAGCTCCATCCCGTCTGCCGCCGGAACCGCGAAAACGGCTCTGGTCTTGTGCTCGGCCTCCCAAAGTCGAACACGCTCCAAATGCCTCACAGCCGCCTCGTAAGGGCACAGCCTCTGGCGCTTGATTCGGCAGGCACACTTCAGGCTCCGAACACATAATGTTCCCGAAGAATCCATCTTGGAAACAGGCAGCAACAAATGAACATGTGCATTATCCAAATACAAATGGTCGCGGCGAAGCCCACCAAGCTCAATCTCGCGCAACATAAACCAGCAGCTCAAAAGTAAAACATCCCCCCAAGCTTCTGGGTCGTCCAAACGCCAGGGACGCAACTCCCGATTGCCCTCGGGAACGACTTGTGCCAGATCCCCCACCGGAAAAGCATCCTTAAGCCGATCTGGGCCTAATCCACGACGAACAGATCTGACGCAGTCACGAATGTGACCGCGCAACTGGTCTGAAACCAACTGGTGCAACTCCCTCTCCTGATGCTTGCAAACTGCAGAAAAGTACTGTGCCACACTCCTATAAGCTCCAGCCTTGAAGGATGCGGCCGCCGCGGAAATATTCTCATGACTAAGCGGAAAAGCTGGCAATTCCCATGCAGAACACAACTGTGTCCAGAGCATAATGCGGCTCTCGACTGGTGCTGTGGTGCTCCTAGCCAAGAAGTCCGAGCGCAAAGATCGAAGCGACTCCTCACGAGCCTCTGGTCTGGCTGCCGCAAAAGCGGCTGATCTATCGGCCCGCCGCCTAACAGGCACTGCCGGCAAATCTTTCCATCTGGCAGCAGGGCATAGACTCTGAGCGGACTGGCTTTCGCGCTCCCTTGTAATCAACTCTATCTGCCACGGAGAGACACCCGCAACTCGCAAAGCAGACGCACCCATGGAAACATCAGCGATGCACCTAACATGATGCTCGACGAGAACGGGAGCCAGATCCTGCAGACCCAGCTCCCTAAGCCTATTCCACAACTCACTAGCCGACATCTTGAGCCCAAGGACCCACATGAAAGACCAAGCGCCGCTGAAGCGCAACCCAAGCTAAACCCGCTGCACTCCTGTCCTGGCCGACATAGCGCCGGGTGCAATCGCGATAGAACTCGAGGGCGTACAATGCCGCACTGCCGGGCTCACAGAATGAAGCCAAAATCTGAGAACCCTCCAGAACCCGAGCATGCTCGAAAGGGCAAATGCACACAGCATCCTGGAAAGAACGAGCAATGTTCCCCGGCTGTCCTGTGAGCACCGGCTCGCCTTGGTCGCACTTCAACGAAGTCAAGAGATCTACCAAGGCACCCAAGCATCGAATAGCATCCACGCCAAGATGGCTCATGATGGTCAAAAGAGCATGACGAAGTCCTTCCAGCATGTAATCATAGGCCAGATGATAATCAGTGCCAGCACCTGTCTGCAGTGCTTCGACTTCGATCACTGCCCACGAGACTTCCGCAGGTGAACAGCGAGCCATGCCGAAAGGAACTCTAAATCGAAACTGAGAGCCCGATGCTGAGGCATTCGTGGCTCTCAGACATGTCACTGATCACCTTCGGTGACACCAGAGAACGGCAATCCGGTGGCCCAGGATCTGCGAGAAACCTGTGAGACAGCTGTGAGGGAAGGGAATCACCGGCCGGACCCAAACCCCACCTGTTTACAGGTTTCTCACAGATTTCTCACAGATCACCTGCAACCCCCGCAGACGTCTCACAGGTTTCTCACAGGTTTCTCACAAGATACTCACAGCCTCCGCTCACAGGACTCTCCAAACTCACAGACCCCGTTCACAGATTTCTCACAAGATTTTCAAAGAAATCAACATCTTACTCCACTCCAGTCATTCCAAGACCCGGGGGTCACAAGGCTATGCCATCTCAAGCTTCCTGCCCTGTACTGATCCGCAACTGGTCGACACAAGGCCGTTCCGGGGCCTACGAGCAGGTCGTAGCGGACCTCCCATGACAACAGCATGATGAAAAACTGCTTCTGATCAGGTCTGTGCCCTCTCTGTGTCCGACATGAACGTCATATCTCCAGCGCTCGCAGGGATCTTCCCAGACGCTGCAGCCGGTCACACTGTTGTAGTAGTACCTCCCGTCTTCACTCGATCTGGGACAGCAGTACAGATGCAAAACGGGAGGGACAGCTCCAGACGACCAACGAAAACAAGGATGAAGTGTCATCATTTGATAATGTTCGACAGCTACCAGTAACGTACCGAAAATCGCTAATGGTGGGCCGTTCTGATTGCGTGCTGGTGTACGGAGTCAGCAAACGAGAGACGGTGGTGACATCAAACCGGCTCACTGTTCACAGCCCGGCTCTCCAAGAGGCCCGACCCACTGCTGCAGTTCCTTAGCCGAGGAACATCATTTCAAAGCTGCCCTAAAGCTGATGCACGAAGAAGGCACACAGCGAATTTCTTCACAGGCAGCTTGTGCGTGCATGATCTTGCAAGTGCATTAGCCATGGCCGCCCTGGTCTCCGAGGCAGACCTCTGTCTGGGATTCTCTCCAAAGACATTGAGTCACGTGTTGTCAGATGCTGCTGAAGCATTTCAACCCACCGTCACACAACTCCTGCATGTTCTACATCCTACAATTCCTGCCTTGAACTACCGCTTTTTGTCCACATTGCTTGACGACACCGAAGCGAGCTGGGACTTGAAAGGGCCGAGCGATTCTCGAAGTTCCGAGGAACGGGGCATACCGCAGAAATGGTGCCATGAAGCCAAGTGAAGCATGACAGTCACCGACAAGCCCTCGAACCAAGCTAAAAAATGGAACATGCGAGTCGAGTCAGCAAACGAAATACATCCTCGCGAGTTTCTCGAAACCAAACACAGCCATCGCAACAATAAACAGGATTGCAGCTCAGTAGCAGCAGCTGCTCGAGCCTCCGAGTAGTACCGCTGGCGGAGGGAAAACGAGGTGCACAAGAACCTAGATCGCAAGCCTGGATCTCGGTCAAGATAGCTTCGATTCGGCATGCCTTGGTCCGAAGAGAGTGGGGGGTGGAGGAGATTCGGGACACCCAGGGTCGCGACCACCTGGTCCAGCTCCAGTTGGTCGGCCTCGTTTCTCGCCGCAGTCGTTTACCGCAGAGGAATCTGGATTTGCCCAAAGGTGGCATGCAAGGTCCTGACAACGAACGAGCTCACCTGCTGCAGCACCTGTCCGGAGGCAAATACAGCAGGGACAGCACGTTGTCAACTTTACAACGAATTCATTGCCGGCTGTGCTGGAAAGTCTCGCCTCCTGGATTGTTTCCGTCAGTGGATGCCTTGGTCGTAACATCCATGACCAAATCAGTCTCACCTTGGCCAGAGCCGCTTCTGACCAAGAAGCTGCCAGGATGACTCATCACGCAACTGGTGATAGAAGTAGAGAGCACCTCGCGTGGCCACAAGTTCAAGAAAACTACAGGCAAAGGCAAAGGAAGGCAGCAAAGGATCAAGACTTGCAACCTGAAGCAGCATCGATCTCCTCGGACCAGTGAGGAGGATATGGAAAAGCTGCAGCTTTTCGAGCCACCTCGCAAGGGACTTTCAAGTCATTCAGGAGTCAACCCACCGTTGTGTCATCTCCGTGCCTCCAAGACTGCTGGAGGGGCTAAAGGCGAGATGCAAAGGCTGTCCAAGAACTGGAGCAATCCAAGGTGCTGCACAAGCGATCATGATTTCACATGACGAACAACATCCACGGGCCTGCTGAAAATCAAGGTGGCACCTCAGTGGGCTGTTGCCATCTTTTGGCGACTCTCTGCAAGAGGATGACCAGGGTCCGGACGGTTGGCTCAGTGCCTTCCAGTCGAACAGCGGTGCTAAGCCGCTGCTCAACACCTCGCTCACCACACTCAATCCTATCACGACCAACGCACCTCCGTGGAGCTGTACTCGACACTCTGAGTCACCTACACTTTGTGGATCATCGGCACCGAGCATTGCCGCATGAACGTGCAGCAGTTCCGTGAAAAGCTCAAGCGGTCTCTTAAGATTCTAAGCCTTGAGTGACAGATTTCTCGTGCACAGGCTCCGAGAAAGGGATGACTGCCGTTGTGGGTTGCAACGAAGCCACCATGTGTGGCTTCAACCTTGTCGCACCCTTTCGACCTAGTTCAGGGGTACTCAGCCGACTCACCTATGCCACGAATTGCGTAGACACTTGATTGACACAGAGCTCTTCAGGAAGGTCTGCTTGCTAGGAATTTCTGATCGTGGTAGAAGCTAGGAGCCTTTGAACACTTCTATGCTTTCAGCAGGGCGAGGGCTTGAAACGTCGCCATCGTGACTATCCGGAGAGAGCTGTCTCATGGAGTCATGGAGCGCAACGTGAGAAACAGCTGCTGCCACGAACATGGACAAAGCTCGGACGCGGACTGAGCTCGTCTAATATCCACGAGTTTATCAACCACGGATACTTTTAGAAATCGAAACCCGGACTTTGGTGGTCACAGAAGATCAATGACGTATTAAATTGTAGACCACTACAAAGGGCTTTAGTCGTCACAAGGGACCTATAAAACCAGACAGTTTAGAGTTTAACGGGCCAAAAAGGTGTAACCGACCGTAGGGGTAACCAAATAATTTCTATTATCGTCTATGCTGACGGAACATGCAAACCGTCTAAACCCATTAAAAATCCAGACACATGATTTCCGCAGACTTCCTTGAGCTGCAAGCACTGTCAGGGTCTTCTGTCCCTGGCAACATGAAGGACAACAAATTGCATCTTTTGTCGCTGCCGAAGATCTCCAAGCGCTGTTTTGCCGTTGTTGTCAACAGTGTCTACAAACTGATTTTATGTATTTTGTGTTGAGAGTGTTCGCTGCAGCATGGGCACAGGCTTGACTGTTTAGACTTCAATATTCTTGTACCCATCAATGTCCGAGTCGGTGGCTGCAAAGGTCAGCTTGAACCTGGAAGCTTGCTAAAGCTGGGGCTTGCGACAACACCTCATATCAGCAAAAAGGACTGATCCTGCGCAGCTTGGGGTCCACACGCATCCTTCATTTGCTTTATCCTCTTCGGAAACACCTGCAGGGTTCCAACGTACCTCCAAATCTAAGAGCAGCTGCTAGCACTCGCAAAGGGCCTTGTCAACCTGTGGAAGGCCATCTTGCTTGGGAAAGTTTCCCCAATACCGTTGGTGAAAGTCACCCCAAAAATCCTGCAAGAGACTTTTGGTGTCGCGGCTCAACGGCTCCCAATGTCATCCTAGCTCAAGGGTCCTCGATCAGATCTTCAGCAGTCCTTCCCTGCGCATCTTTGGCGTCCTTGTCTGCTCCGTTCTTCAGCAGCCAAATCACAGCCTCCATTGACGCGCCACGAAACAGAACCGCATGTGCATGCAGCAGGCTAACGGCTAACAACGGCCTTGGGGTTGTCCGACAACACGGCCCAGTGAAGTGGCGTAAACCCCTCCAAGGTGTCCTCAGCAAACCATACCCGGAATGCAAGATTTGGACACTGTCGAATTTCCGAAAACGTCAACAAGCTCAGTATCTCAGTCACAGGCCGGTGCATTGATCTCCTCGCTCGTGGCCTTCGCGAGCATCTTGAATCCCTGGCCCTCAAACATCGCGCATTGCGCACCTTTCAGAGACAAGCAGCCACAGACTTGGAGACGGCACCGCAAAGTGTTATGGCCAAAGTTACTCACCGTCACGAGCAGCATGAGCCAAGTGACTATCAAGGCGAATTCTGTGAATTTAGCTGGGTTCGAGCGAGCCACCGATGTGGGCCACATTCCAGGAATGAATGTTGTGTCTTCTCTTGGAGCCCATGTAGTCCTGCTCTGCAGTGCTCATGGTGCTCGCGGCGAGCGAAAACGGTGACCTGTTTCTGGTTACAGGCCTCCGGCTGCAAGAACATTGCGGCTTTTTGGGCATCGGGATGCTTCACCTGGCTTGAGGCAAAAGGACTCTCCAAAGACACACACAAACACGCGTGCGCGCGAGTTAGACGCTTGTCGACTGGCCCCCCTCGACTCACGAGCAAGGAAGACCCATTTGGGAAGCTTGTAGCTCGTAAAGGGCTTGTGACCAGGTTGATGTTCCCACCTGGCCAGGAAGGTGACTATGAATTGCAGTTCTTACCATGGCCGTGCGAATGCTGCTACTGCGTGCGGCAACTGTCGCTGGGCACACTTCACAATTTTCTGCTGCGATCTGGGTACGCCAGTCGGAAGGCCGTCTTGCGTCACAAGCCTGAGCAGCTGAAGCACATTTTTTGCGCAGGCTGGCATAATGCCGGCACCGGCGGCAGCACTGAGCGTGCAGCTCATTGCCACCAAGAGCTACGTCCTTTACCTCTGCCAGCGTGCCCATTGTGCCACATGAACCGAATGACTGCGGCAGCAATGACTTGTCTCACATGACCGGATGGCATAAGGCATAAGTTGAACTAGTCGATTCTTTTGAACACCCTGCAATCTTTGACCCACGAGTGGTCACACAGCATGTCTAGGCTTTTCTAGGGACGTTTGGCTACAAGGCATGATTTCAATCCCTCTCCATCAACTCGTGTGAAATCTGTCCCAGCAAAGCATGTCAACATTCTGTTTTATCTGCGCACACCTTCAGCAGCATACTTCTGTCTTTGCAGATTTGCAGGTGCAGAACCAAGTTTGATCCCGGAACCGCCATAAGCTTCCGGCAGATTCTTCACATCAATGAACTCTCGAAGAGTTTCGAAGGACTCATCTTTCCCAACACAAACCCGGAGTCTTTCCTGCTGTTTCTTCGCCAAAAAGGGGCGGAAAATTGACCAAACTGTCCTCCACCAATCAGGCGCATTCACAACAAGGACTAAATGCTCTCGATCAGGCATGTGCGCTTGAACAGCATTGAAGGATGCCGAAAAAATGCGCAAAAGCTTCGGAGTAATTTGGGATATGCGAAACCCGTCCATGTCCATGATGATGGTCAAATGTTGCTTGTCATCGCGCTTCAACCAGATGTCCCACGTGAACAACGTCTGCCAAACGTAGTCATCTCTGATACGCTCGATTGTTAAACCATCTTCGTCCAATCCGGAGGAATCCCAGTTTCCAACCCTGTTCCAGTAAGTCAGACGACCGGCTTTGTCAGGAAAGTGAATAGAAGTTGGAAAATGTCGCTGGATCTTGAAAAAATCCGGGTTCGGACGTGTGAATATACCATCATCGTCTATTTCACAACGCCACTGCAAAGTTTCCACCCACCTTCGCATAGCTTTCGCTTCATTTCCCTCAAAGAAATCCAGCATGTACTGGGGCAAGGCCCTGTCAAGCTTCTTCAACTCGTTCGGGTCCGGATCAAATCCCAATGCTGCAGCTTGGCAAGATTTGGAAAGTTGCGAACGTCGACCAGCCCGCGACCAAGGCCGCGCAAACAGTGGCGCACGACACGGAAGACTTGATATGGCTGATATGGCAATCAAACACGCGGCCGTCCCAATCCCTGGCCGTGCTTGGACACGAGGCATCGCATTGATATTGCATGGCATGTCGGATAGAAGAGCAATTCTTATTGCATCACAACTCCCTCACGTATAGTAAGCTAATTGTGTCGAAAGAACAGTAGGGCCGAGATGATGATTCGAGTTGCCGATGCGTTTATCTGTTCAGCATGTGCGTTTGAGCTTGAGCCGGTGATAACGGATGTTTGTCAGCTTCAAGCCGTGGGCAGTACATCATCGACGTGATCTGCCTTCCGATCGCGCAGCAGCAATTCAAAGCTTATGAGACGTTGGAGATTGGGGGTTGACGTTGATGCGACCTTGCTGCTGCTTTTGACAATCACTATCCGCTCCCCAAACAACCACCATTACAGTAATCGCACAGCAGGGGAATTTTTTGACAGTTGGTCGTAGGGTCGTAGGGTCGCTCCACTTGCTAGCACAGGACATGGTCTCTGTGGAAGACACCCGGGAGTGGGTGGGTGGGTGGGAAAATCGGGTGTCGTCCCTTGACGGGAGCGGTACACCATGATTAAACCCCACCGTCCACGCTTGTGATTGTCATTGCAACAATGGAAGTTTTAAACCAAACTTTAAGGTTCCCTTGATTCACAGGATCGCTCTATCACTTTTCACCAGACGGCGCGTGGCTGTCTAGGGTCTCCTCTTTCAGCCTAACGTAGCGGAGTGAAACATTGTGAATTAGCTCCTAAAACCCTAAAATAGGATACACTGGAAAATGAAATGTTTGTTATGCCCTCTCGGATCATTCTGGCTTTCCAGATTGAACCGACTTTCAAACATTCACCTACAGTCCACTTCGCATTTTCCGCATGCTCTTGTGAGCACTTTCAGCTCTTTTCGCATGCTCCATTGAGCCATTCTTCATCTCTTCATCTTCTCTCCAATTCTTCCTTGGCTCGTGGTCCTGTAAAAGATTGTGAAACATAACATCAAAGTGCACTCAGTCTTCACAGTCACTGGCTGCCGAAACTAACATGCACTGCACTCACTTTTTCTTGAAGTCGCGGTAGGCGGTAAGGCGTGGTTGAACCACTTGCTCCATCGCTGCATTCGGCGACTTTTGCCATAGCTACGCGCTTTGGCATCGTTGTGCTCGTAGTGCTTTGTCGAATGAGCCTCAGCGCTCTTTCACATTCCCCGTCTTTATACACCTGGGCTCGGTGTTTCGAATTTTCAGCTGCTTTGGGCTTTCGCCCTCATTCTCGCACGCATACTTTCACATACCTCCGTCTTTATACACCTGGGCTTGGTGTTTCGAATTTCCTTGGCAACCATTTTGTCGCCCTCTCACTCCATGTCCGTCACTTCGGCTGTGGCGCGCTTCTTTCCTTCATCCTTCTTTTCTTTCTTTGTTTTCTTTTCCTTCTTTTCTTTCTTCTCTTTGTGATCTTTCTTTGGCACTTTCTTTTCTTCTGGCTTCTTCTTTTCCTTCTCTTTCTTCTTCTCATCTTCTTTCTCCTTGGCCTGAGCCACGATGGACTCCTTGGGCAGTGCAACTTCAGCCGTGAAGATATTCGGCTTCTCTTTCTCCGCTTTCGATCCTTCAGCACTTTCCCTTTTCTTCTTCTTTTCATCATCATCTTCGATCGGAATAACTTGGCTGGGATCAACTTTACGCTTATTTGGCTGTAGCTCAGTACCCCACTTGGGGTCTGGGCTCTTTCCTCCCATTATTGCTTTGTTCGCCTCATCAACATAGGCCTTTTGCTGCTTGTCGGATAGTTTACCAAAGCGCCAACATTTCTGAAACGTATGCCCGCACCACCCGTCGTAACGGGTGCGGCCTTGGGCGGCACTTTCGTATAACAAGTACCCCTTCTACTGGTCAAAGCAGACCTGGCAGAAAAGCTCTGCTTTGCCATCTCGACGCTGCTCTGACGTTGGTACTCGTGCACCGCGCTGCTTCGACAATCTCCACATTCCTTCGCAGTCTTTGGCTTTATGACTATCACTTCCGCAGAAGAAACATCCGCGGATTCCAAACTCATCATCATCCCGGCCTCGGCTGCCGGGAAGCAACCATCGAGAATTTATCTCTCTCGCGGGTTTCTCAGCCCTTTCAGCATCTTTTGAGCTTTGCGCCTTCTCTTTTTCATCAGTCTTCTTTAAAACTTCTGGCGCTGCCTTTGGCTCTGGCCTTTGCTTTCGCGGAAGCTCCTTCGGCTCGCTGGGCCTATCACTGCCCTTCACCATAGATTGCTTTCTCACCCCTTCATCCTTTTCTGTCTCAGAAACTGAAACACTTACAGGCGTAGCAGTTCCACTTCTTCTCTTCTTCATCATAGCCTGTAACATCTCCAGTTGAGAGTTCCTTTTCGCTGGTGTCACCGGTTGGGCGAAGAACTTTCTGCGCAGCTCTTCATCACCTGATATTGCTGCCTCAAGCTGCTGTACTACTTCTTGCAACATGTTAACAATCTTTTGGCTTGCATCTAACACACACTTAGCGGTTTGCAACACTTCATCAAGCTTTTCAGCTTCAGTCGACACTTTCTCAATTTCACCTTCAGCTTTCTCGATTTCAGCTTCAGCTTCTAGCTTTTTCAACTCAGCTTCTGCTTTCATCGCTAACGCATCTTCTCATTTGTTCTTCGCTGCTTCAAGCTCATAGTTGTTCCCTTCTATTTCATCATACGTCTTGTGAACAACATCTTCAAGCTCTGAGCTCCAGTTCTTAAACTCTTCAGCCATCTTTTGAAGCTTCACTCCAAAAGCTTCAGGCCATTCTTGTATCGGTCGCTCAAGCTCTATAAGGACCTGTCGTACGGCATTCACCTTCTCATCCTCCAGCAAGGCTCCCACGCAGTTATCATCCACTCTGAACACGCTTTTGACGCTTTTCACCGCGTCTGCCATGCTCATCTCTGCGACCAGATCTTCTATCGGCTTGTCACCTTCGTACTCAAGGTCTTTCGACATCTGCTCCTCCGATTCTTTTGGCATTTGCTCCTCCGATTCTTTTGGCATCTGCTCCTCCGATTCTTTTGGCATCTGCTCCTTCGATTCTTTCGGCATCTGCTCTTTCAATTCTTCTGGCTTTTCAACCGAATCCTTTTATTCCTTCTGCTCGCGTTCGCCGCTTTCGCTGCTGCTGCTACTTGGCTTTGATGCCTTGGCTCGGGCACTTCTCATCACATTTCTCCTTCTTTCCTTTGCGACTTCTTGCATCTCAGCCATCTGCTCTGTACGCTGTTCCATTTCTCGCCTTTGCATCTCTTCAGCTATATGCTCAGCCGCCTTTGCTTGCTGCTTCTTCCTCAGCTCTTCTTTCCTCCTTTCAGCTTCTACCTGCTCTGCAGTCTTTCTCTTTTCTTCTTCTTCATCACTAATGCTGGTGCTGCTGCTTGGGTCTGATGCACACTCATCTGCATTTGCATCGGATCCAGCCTCATCTTCATTTGCGCTTCCACCTTCTTCGGCTGCCGGAGCTTCTTCAGCAACCTCATCAGTTCCGGCTGCTGCTGCTGCTTCTGCTGCTGGCTCCTCGGGTCTCTCGCGACCCTCCTTGCTTTGGTTCAACCCAGCAACCGTCAACCTCAGTTTCTCAGGATCTATGAAGTTGTCTCCCGTACTCCTTTTCAGCCCTTTTCTGCCACAGTAGCCGAGGCTATCGATTCGCATTCCTCAGCGACAATCCGCTTTGGTTCTTCTACCTTTTCTGCTTTTGTCATCTCTTTGTTGAGGAACACAAGGCTTTCGGAACCTGCACGCTGAGGTCCCGGCTCTTCTTCCACTCTTTCTTCAGCAACAGTTTCCTCTTGCCTCGCTTCACCTTCAGGCGCTGAGGACATCTTTTCTTTCCTCTTCTTTCAACACTTTCACCTTTCAATCTCTTTGCTACCTTTCTCTTTTGAAAAACAGCTGCGGCACATATTGGTTTCCGGAAAATGCACATGCACACTCCTAGTATCAACATCGAAGCAAACATGCACATCATGGCACAGCTCGGTCCTTGCTTTTCTTTTCTTTCTTCGTCTTCAACAGCTTCTCCCAATCCGACCAACACTGCCATTGTCACTGCTTGAATGATTCTTCTTATTATTATTCTTTCTTCATCCATTTTCTTTCTTCCTCGTGCCATTCGTACTTCACTTTCAACCATTTCCTGTCCTTCAGCCATATCAAGATACTCACCAATGTAGCCAATCGTCGTCATATACTTCCGGATCTTGTCTCGTGTAATCTTTCCTTTGATAGCTTTGATCTTCAAGTTGTCTATCCTTTGAATCCACAACAGATCAGCATCCAGATGTCTGGCCCTTCCAAGACCTTTCCTTGCTATCAACTGTCTCGAACTGCTCGAGTCCGAATACAACATCATCTTCGGTTCCATTTCAAGGATTCGCGTAAGCAAACCTCTCAAAAACACAGCTTCTGACAGAATTGAAGTAGCTGCTACAGCTCGACAAACTCACACACTTCTGTCTTTTGCTTTGAAAGTGAATCAAGTTGCCATTCAGCATGATGGCACCACAAGAAACACTTTGTCCACGTTCTCTGTCAGCTGCCCAGTCCGAGTCTGATATCACCTCCAACAGACTTTCTTCCTTGTACGGATTTCTTTCCTTTTCATCACTTTCTTGGTCACCTCTGAAACTCTTTCCTGGATAACTCTTCCGATGCACCAAGGATACATCAGGTGTACCCTTCAAATACTTTGCAGTATGTCTCAGCAATTCCAGATCGCTGTTCGTTGGGCTTGCCAGCTTCGTGCTCAGCTTCCTCAGCACATACATCACATCAGGTCGTTCTGGCGCGAGATAAAGAAGTATTCCAACTCCTTTCCGACACACATGGTGCAACTCTGGAGTCAACGTTCCACCTGCCCTTCTGCGCGCGCTGGGTCTGACGCGACGAGTTCGAAAAGCAGAGATGGAGATGATGATGCTAGTAAAAATTCTGAACAGTCTAAACCGGTGCAGGTCCAGGGCCGTCACTTGCTCTTTCTCATCAGCTTTACCATTGCCCATGTACGACGTGCATGCATTGTGCACCAAAGAAAGATTTGTTGCGACATCCTACCT